AACAAGAAAGGCAGTATCACTTCCCTAGAAGAAGCAGAATGAATACTTCAATATTAGAATGTAATGGTTGCCTTGTGGGGTGGTAGGTAAATAGGCCTCCTGCACACCAGCATCCCATTTGAGCACTAGTTCAAGTCTCAAAGCACCATTTCCAATCCAGCTCCTTGGTAATGTACTTGGGACACTGTGCCAACTTCCTCCATTCATGGAGAAAGCAGAGGTATTCCCAAGGTGCTACCCATCAGTGGTCCACCTGGCCAGCTTGAGTCTAGGTGCCTGTGATGGAGAGAGGGGAGAGGAATACCTCACAGTCCCTGGGTGGGCACCTCATCCCTGCCAAACCTCCCAGCTAATCTCTAAGTCAGTGGGCACCATGGATTTATCTCTCTTGTGTTCCCCTAGTTGCATGTACTATGTGAACCATGGTAGCCTGTACCTGCATTATTAAGATGTCAGTTCTCTGATGGGTCACCCAATATCCTTGTTGGAGAATAAGAAAAAAGAAATGTACTCTTTCATGACAGGGTTGGGTAAAAACCTTGCCCCCTGCCAGCACTACAAGCCAGACTCAGATTCACTATGGTATGCAATGATCCACCTCAGTTAATATCACCTGTGACGTGGGCTGCTGCAGTCTCTTCTCACCTCACTTCGACGAATGGGATTTCCTCCAGCCCCTGGCCACAGAACGTTTTCCCAGTTCCCTCCTCCTGCCTCTCACCCCTCCCTCGCATAATGCGTTACTCTGCTTTCCTTCTCTTATATTTCTAAGCTCAACATCAGCACATGGTTTCCCCATTCAGCCATATTGGAGTCTTAATAATTAATACTCAACTTTAATAACATGTCTTCCCATCCCAAAGCGAAGTTTCTTCCCCCAGCAACCTCACTACTGGATTTGCCCAGGTGAAATGAAACCTAAGTGTACACCGAACCAAGACATGCATATGACAATGGGTTTGTTCATGATTGCCAAACCAGAAACAACCCCCAAACTCCTCAACCTGTGAGGAGATAGGCGAACTGTGCTGTAGCAGTAAAATGGAATGCTGTTTGGCAATAAAAAGGAACAGATTACTGAGATACATAGCAGCATGGATGAATATTGTGCATTTCACTAAGGCAAAGAGGCCCCATTGAAAAGGCTACACAAGGCATGAATCCAGTTGCATGATATTTTGGAAGAGGCACAATTAGAGGGACAGAAAAAGAATCTTGTGATGTTCTGGGGTTTGGAGGAGGAGCAATATCATTCAGGATGATAGGATATCATTCATCATGACAGGATTTTGAAAAGTGATGCAGTTGTTCTGTGTCTTCACAGTGGCTGTGACTGCATAACTCTATTGAAACTCAGAGTTGCCCAATAATGAGAGTAAATACTGTTGTATGTGAATTATACCTTAACTTAAAAATTGAAGTGCTCAAGGAAGATGACCACTTTTCAGGAAGATTCTCTGAGGGATTTGTTTCAGTCTCATCTGTTGTCTTTCCCATGATTTCAGGATCAAATGTTCAGTTTGCCAAAAGGGCACTTGCATGATTTCCTAAGACTGTCACTGCGCTACCTGTTGTTAAGAGACTCGGAAATGAGAGTCATAATCCAGGGAGAGAGACAAAGAAACAGGCGACAGGCAGGCTCCTGTCAACAATGGTGGCATTAACTAAGTGCTGCATAATCACAGCGTGGATGAGAGTGTGGTTTCCTATGACACCTTGCAAAGCTCTCTCACAAGTATTCACGCAGGGCATCCACACAGCACCTCTCTGCCACAAAAGAGCTGCAAGTGTTGTCACCCCTGCTTTAATAGGAGAGGCAGGTGCTAGGAATTCTCATCCTGCTCGTGTTCTTGCACTCCCTTGGCACTCTTCATAGGCTGCTTTAAATGGCATGGTCATTTGGTTTGATACAGTCACTTTTTGGGTTTTGAAAATATGTGATATATTTGTCTTATGGATAAGGAAACTGGGGTTCTGGGAATTTTCCAAGATCACTTGCCTGCTAGATATTGGAGCCAAGAATTCAGAACTCAGATGTTCTGATTTCAAGCCTGCTTCTCTTCCTACAATCCTATATGTTGGTTATGTGAGTTTTAAAAATAAGGTTTCTCTATTTGAAAATCAGAGTTTCAGAGAGAGGGAGAAGAGAAAAGAAGGGAAGAGGAGAGGAGAGGAGACTTTGCATTACCTGGTTCACTCCCCAAATGGCCACAGTGGCTAGAGCTGAGCCAATCTGAAGTCAGGTTTCTGGAGCCTCTTCTGGGTCTCCCATGTGAATGCAGAGGACCAAGGACTTGGACCATCCTCATCTGATTTTCCCAGAGCTTTAATAGGGAGCTGGATTGGAAGTGGAGCAGCTGGGATATGAACCAGTGCCCACATGGTACACCAGTATCTCAGATGGTGCCTTCACCCATTGGGCCACAACACTGGAAGCAGTTATGTGACTTTTATGCAAAATGTAGTTCCGTTAGTGGAATTTTGCTATGCATCTACACATCTTTAATGTATTAGTGAACAGAGTTTTAATTGGCTTCTATTATGAGAACCAGAATATTACAAATAAAGACTGCTTTTCTTACTGTCATCTTTCTTAGTAACTTCAGGGAACTTGGAATGTAGTGTGTAAATTGTGTGTTTCTTTTGGCTTCTTGTGTTTTCATAGTTTCTGAATATGAGAAGTGTGTATGTGTGTGTGTGGTGTGTGTGTGTACACATGTGTGTTGGAAGCTGTGACTTCCAGAGCAAAGAGTTCATCAACATAAGCCTGAGAGTGAGTTTTCAACAAACACTAAAATGTCTACATCAAACGGAGTATTTTCTTTAAGTTAGTTTCTTTGAGGGAATATTCAATTCAATTGCTTTTAGTTGTGACTCATTTTTATGCAAATAGCAATGCCAGCTTCCTCCTTAGTTTTATCTCTGAAAGCCCTTTTTGTTTTCTTGGTCGTCTCTGAGCAGGGATGAACCTTCTCTTCCCCGTGTCTTCAGCATCTAGCTCAGAATCCAACTGTCATAAGCACTCAGGCCATGTTTGTTGAGTGTGCCTGAACCAAGACCCAACTATTAAGACACTCAACCATAATTAGGGAGCCCTTCCTTGCGCCGTCATATTTTCTTCAGAATCTCTGTTGACGCTTGTATCCACTAATTCATCTTCTCTGTTGTCCTCAGCAACAGCTTAAAGGGAATCAAAGACACCTTAAAGGAAAGCAGTAATGTGTGAATGAAACTAAGAATGAACACCAAAGGAGAATGAATGGAGTTGTTTTTCCTCTTGATGTATGACTTAATTAAGAAGAATTTAAGCAGATCTTGTTACAACTTCATTATAAATAGGTTTGAGGCCAGGAATTCAGTATCATTGTTAAAGTTTTCTGTATTGAAGTACTAGGTTTAAGGCCTGGTTCCAGTTTTTCGCTAATGCTCACTCTGGGATGCATTGGAAGATGGCTCAAGTGGTCTGATTTGTGCTACCCAAGTGGGGGTCCTGGGTTGAATAATGGCTTCTGATTTTAGCTTGGTCCAGTCCTAGTTCCTGTGGATATTTGGAGAGTGAGAGAGTAAGCTGGTGGATATGATTTCTCTCTGTCTCTCAAATAAAATAAACCTTTACAAATAGGTTTCTATGTTCCAGTTTATTCAGGAAGATCACCACCTGTAGTTATGTTCTCATTGTGTGACAGAAAGTGTGGTTTAGAGTCTAGAGACATGATTCTCTTACTAGGTTATGAAAACCCGAGTACACCTAGTTGACTCATTGACATCATCTGTAAATCACAGGGCTGCTTACTAACAGATTCCAGCACGCACCCTCAGATCCACCACTTAGGAAGCATCTCCATGCCATGCTTGAACATGCATGAGAATTATCTTCTCCTCAGGTCCCCGTAGGCTCCTTCCCAAGATGATCCTCACTCCCAAACTGACACGTGATCCTGAACTCTTTTGGTGTGTGTCTGTGGTATCTGCATCTCATAAGCCTGTGCGTCACTGGGGTCAGTGATCCCGTGACTTCTGTCTTCCAGGTGTGCCTGGCATCAAGGACTACACATTGTGGACACACAAAGGACTTCTAAAAGTGTCTTTCAGGTTCTTAGCTTACAGTACAAGCTTTCAAAGGCTAGATGGCACTGTTGCTAGAGCCAAATCAGGTGTTCTGTGAAATATCTGAGAAGCGAAAAGGAAACAGAGCAGGGGGCTCTGAGACATTCCCTTGCTGGGTTTGATTCAGACTCATTGCTGAAATGTGGGTGGGCTCCTACCTGCTTGGCACAGAGTGCTTGGCCATGTTCTTAGCACCTTCACACATATGGCTTCATGCTGACCGACCTGTGGACCACTCAGGAGAGCTGTATTAGATGTGATTTTGTGGAACTACAACTCAGAAAAAACAAGTGCCTAAACTGAAATTACACAGCAGTTAATCAGCAGCGTTTCTGGGCATTCACACCTGTTGGCATCTTACGCTGTTGAATGTTAGGGTGTTCTGGGGTGCACACATTGTGACAGTCTTGTGGCTGACTCAGGAATGTGATTTGGGTGGACTAGGCCAAGGTTAGGGATTAAAAGGTATGGTTCTCAGCCAAAATGGTTGAATGCATCAGTTTGACCTGTGACTTGAATTGACCGAGTTTGTGGCAAAGGTGGAGCATCAGCATCACAATTTTGGGAGAAACAAATGATACCACATTCTGACTGTTTGATGAATTAATTTGTACAACTATTAGGATCCAGGATCAGATACTGCTGTTTATAGGATGCTGTCCTATGTTTTGGCTGTGTCTGTGATTCATGCATTGCTTTACCATATGCATGTGTTTCTCCTTAAAAGAAGAAAATATAAAAACAAGTGACCTATGTAGGAGTCAGGGCAGCTGTCACTACTGGAGGAGAGGCTTCAATGGTTCTATAGAGTAAAAAATGATTAGTGATTCACAAATTCATGCACAAATTGTTATTTGGGTCTCCTGATTGTCTCCTCTCTCGTCTCTCCCCAGGATGATGAAGATAAGCTGACTTGGAAAGATCGCTTCCCAGGTTACTTGATGAACTTTGCCTCCATATTGTTTATGGTAATTATCGTGAGGAACCACCAGTTTAAGGCTGTGTATGTAGACCCAGTTATTTGAGTGCTATGACTGCTTTATCCTGTTGTGGGACATCTTATTGTGGGAAAAAAATGGTGGCCAATAAAGATGAAGCCACAGGGAGAGGCAGGTCTCAGAGGCAGGCACGAAAGTGGCTTGGGCATTAGTCCCTGGAAAACATTAATCCAGGTAAAACAGTAGCAGAACTGAGCTATGGGGTGGATGTCTCTAACGTTTCATGAAAGAGAACAGAGCTGGAAGCTGTAAGATAGGTGGTAGGGGTTTGAAGGTCTGGGTCTTTAGTTTCTCTCTAGAGAAACCACATGGTTTGGTAGAATCTTTTGATAAGAGGCAGAGATCTCGGCAGTATCAGGGAAAGCTCAAGCAGGAATGTATGATTGAGATTTGGGCCAGGTTGTTAAAACGGGAGCAGGTCATCCTTAGGAGCCAGGATGGGTAAATCAGCAGTAAGTGAAGCTGGATGGCCTGGGACAACCTGAGAAGAACTTCGGAGGACAGACACATCTGTACCTCTTAGTGGGGCAGCAGGGGGAGGGAGAAGACACAGATTTCTTGTGGTATTTTAGTATTCAAACTGGAAGTTCAGTTTTAGATTAAAACTTCACAGCTGAGAGCATTTATTTCAGAAGTTTTTAGAATCTATTTTCATTTTATTTATAAGGCATAGAGAGATCTGGTATCCACAAGTTGATTCTCCAAATGGCGACAAAAACCAGGTCAAAGTCAGGAGTGAGGAAGTCGGTTTGCATTGCCCATACAGATCACAGGGACTGTGATACTCAGACTCCCCGAGATGTGCGTTAGAAGGAAGATACATCTGAGTGACAGTGGCTGGAACTCAAAGGAGGCAGTTTGACCTGGGAAACAGACATCTCCCAACACCTTCCCCAGTTCAGTGCATTTCTACACAAGACTCTATACCTGCTTAGATGGCAGAGGAATGATGTTTTCTGAGGATCAGGACTGGAATCAGTTTTTCTGGGCCTGTTGGCCAAAAGACCCTGTGACCCCGACCATAGGATTCTGTTGTTCGTTGCATTCCTCCCCTCCTGAGTAGTCGTGTCCTGCTCTTAGAGATTGAGCATGTGCAGGAAGCATGGCTACAGTCTATCCCAGCTTCACATCTTGCACATACTAAGCCTCTGCACAGCTCACCAGTCTCAATTAGTTGTTTGCTGGTTACTTCACAAGTGCAAAGTGCATAGAACTTAGCCAAGAAGGTGGTGAGTTGCAATGTGTGAAGCTGGAATGATGTGAGGCTTAATTTAGCACTTCAAAGCCTCCCACAGAATGCATATTGTTGTCCAAGAGTTTATTTCATTCATTCATTCAGGAAATATTTAATGAGGGCTGCTATGTGTTTGACACTATTCTTAGGCTCTGGGGGATATAGTAGAGAACAAAACAAAATAATCTCTCACTTCCAGAGTCTGTAAGGAAAATAAATCTTTCTCTTCAAGGATGGTGGGGACTTTTAGGGTATCTCTAACATTTCATTTCACTGAAATTAGCAACAGAATTGGAGAAATATGTTTTTCATCTTCTTAAAGCCTTGAATGGCTGATGGAACAGTAAGTAATATTTGGTGAAAATCAAAAGGAAAATGGGAACCCAGGAAACAAGTGAATGGGCAAAAATACTGGTTTATCGCTACGGTTATCTTCTCCTCTAGGCAAATTTAGGCTTTGGTTTGAGATTTTTAGGAGAACTGGAGCACTTAAATCATGAACAACTATTGGCTGAAAGTGGGGATTCTAATCGTTAAGTTACAACTCCAAAAGGGCTACACTTCTCAGAACAAAGATGAAACAGAGCAGAACCCCTCCGCTCAACACCCACTTGATTCCCACATAGGGCACTACAGGAAAAAAAAAAAAAGAGGATGGTTCCAAATAGAACAAAGGAAAACAGATATAAAATCCTGTCCCTGCAAAGCATCTGTGGGCAATTGCACTGTGTATTTATAGCCTAGATCATCTCATGTGGGAACCAGGAAACTCAGCCTATGAACTTGGTCCAGGACTAGTGGTGCTCACTGGTACCTGGCAGACTCAGATGTGGTTACAAGTAAGCTCCTGTGATGTAACTATGGGAGATATTAATTAGATCAGTTAAACAAGACAGAAGACCAAGGCTCTGAGCCATGCAGGAGTCCCTTGGTGTAAACAGGGACAAGGCTGAACTTCTCAATAAATGCATCTGGGCCTGTTGGATGCCCTTGTGCAAAAACAAAAACAACAACAACAAATAGCGCCTAGTTCTGTGCACTACTCAAGAACATGCTTCTAGGTGTTTTCAAAACTCAAGGATGAGAGGTGAAATGAGAGGGCTTAAATGTATATAGAAAAGTAAGTATGATCTTAGGGGAGACAAGAATATTTTTTTCAACCCAAAATTCAACTTCAGAGTTTATCAATGCCAAGAAAGGAGAATTTCTTAAACAAGTTACAACAAGCATAATATAATTAAAGGTTAAGAAAGTGAGACCGGTGCTGTGGCATAGTGAGTTAAACTGCTATTTGCGAGCCCCACATCCCATATGGAGTACTGATTCAGGGATTCAGGTCCCAACTGTTCTTCCCATCCAGCCCTCTGCTAATGTGCCTGAGAAAGTAATGGAGGATGGCCCAGATATTTGGGCTTCCACCACTTGTGTAGGAGACCCAGATGGATCTCCTGGTCCTAGTAGCCATTTGAGGAGTGAACCAGTGTCACCCTGCCTTTCAAATAAATAAATACAAGCTTTAAAAACTTGAAAAACATGACTTTTGAAATGAAGGATTTAAGTTCATAAAAATACAATGAGAGGCATCATCAGAGTAAGAGACTATTTACAATAACTAATTCACAAAAATTGATCAAAATACATAAATAATTATGTGTCGCTGGAAAAAGACATACAATCTAATAAAAATAGAAAATGAAAGTAGGTATTTCACAATAGAGGAAATAAAATCATAAAAAGGCATTTCATCTTTTTAATAGTGGTAGAAGTTTTACTTTAAGCTATACTGAAATATCAACCACACTCAACACCACTCCTGGGTCTATACCCTGGAGAAAGTTACATGTGGCAAAGTACATGTCCAGGAATGTGTCCAGCAGACAGACAAGGGACACAGACCTAGGGAGGTCTAGGACTGCCTGGGTTTGGTCCTGCCTAGTCCCTTCTCTTTCAATGCAGCTTGCTACTAATGCACACCCTGGGATACAGTAGATGATGACTCCTGTTTCCCTGGGTTGAGTTCCCAGCTCCTAACCTTGACTTGACCCAGCCCATTCTTGCAGAAATTTGGGGTGTGAATTGCTGAAGGATGCCAGCCTGCCAGACCAGGCAGGGATGCTTCTCACTGCGAATGAGAGCAATGAATTGCCCTAGATATACTTCACCTGTCCCATTGTGTTGGAGGCCAGCATGGTGACTACTGATTGCTTGCTGTTTTTGGGACATCATGAAGCTAACAAAACCTAAGCAAACTATTATAAATAGGGTTTGCTGTGCTGGAGACACAAGACTATTTGTGGCTGATCCCTGCATTCTTTGATCGCTTCTATGATTCAGGTGTCTTGGGTGGTATACAAGAAAAGGCTGTGGCATGAGCCAATCCCTTCACTTTTCCACACTTGTTTCTCATATTCAAAATGGTCCATGGGGCTGGGAAATCCAGTTTTTTTGGTAGCTTGAAAACTGAATGTTGAAGTGCTAGTCAGGCTAGAGGAGAGGTTCTGAACCCGAGTTGTGTAGGGGGAATAGAAAGTCAAGGCCAGAGAAGGTAAAGTGGCCAAGAGCTATTGGAGGATTGGGGAGGGGTAGGAGGGAGGGATGCAGATGGGGTGAGCAGGAAGAGGGGGAGGCAAGAGTGTGTTCTGAGTGATGAGAGCTCTACTTTTATCCTGGAGTAGGAAGGTTGCTAAAATGCAGATTACAAGTCTGGCACTGTGTTTGAGATTTCTAACATGTTCCCAGGGGGTGCAGCACATCCATGGAGTGGCCAGGAAGGGTGTTCTCATGCAGGGTAGCAGCCTGGGTCCTCCCACGGCACCGTGGAGCCCATCTGCTTCCCACTTTTTCCTCCATGCTCCTCCCCCAAGACCCTAAAGGAAAGGATGGTTTTATCATTGTGTTCCTCCCAACCCTACGCCAAACACTTTCACCCTCCTTCCCTACTCTCTCTCTCTCCCTCTCCTCTGTCTCTCTTCTCTCTTTGTCTTTCTCTTCTTCTATGCCCCATCCCTGGTGTTTACTGCAAAAATGATTTTGGGGAGAAAGAATCTCACACCCCATTTTCCAGGCCCTCACTGTCTGGCAGTGACAATCCCAGAGGGGGAAGTGACAATATCTCCGTTGTTGAAGCAGGGTGACGTCATGTGCAGGTTTTCCCACTTACACGGAAGTTGTCCCGGCTGAGTCCTAGAGGCTGGTGTTTTAGCTCCACCAGTCTCAGCAGCAAAGGGGCCTCCTGCTGTGTGTGTTTCCCATCTGATCTCTCTTGTGTGTGCGTACACACACACACACACACACACACACACACACACACACACACACACACACACACACACACACACACACACACACACACACACACACACACACACACACACACACACACACACACACACACACACACACACACACACACACACACACACACGGCCCTGAGAACTCCATGCATTCCTATCCCAGGGCTTCTTTAACACACTGTAGCTCCCAAAGCAGTGCGAACATTTGTAAAGCATGCCTTGAGAAACAGCTGAGTCTGCCCCATCGCCCTGGCACCCCTTCACCCAACACCTGCAACCTATTCTCAGCCCAGCAGCCTATCACTCACACAGCCAGTCCTTTTCCCTCTCCCTTCCCCTACCTTCCCTTCCTTGTTCTGCCCTCCTCTCCCCTCTGGGATGTGTTTAGCCTTTTGGGTCACCTCTTTCCTCACCCCCAATTTTCCATAGCCCTCCATAACCAGCTCCTCTGTCCCTTGTCCCCTCTCTGCTAAAGTAAATGCGACCTGCAGAGGATCTTTAGGAAGACCTCCCTCGTCTGAAGCAAAACAGAATTTGCTCAGAGCAGTGCCTGCCCCAGCGGCTGCCCCTCTGCCCTGACAGTACTTCTCGGAGAGCTGGCTGCTCATCAAGTCCCAGTGCTTAGTAAAGATGGTCCCTCCTTGGTTGTGAAAGGCAGCAGGGGGCTTAGGAAAAGGGCAGGGCTTTTGGATCCATCTAGGTCTAGGTGGATGAAGAGGTCAGGGAAACTGCAGGAAGTGTTGTCTGACCAAAGGAGAAGTCTGAACCTTCCTTTTTCGTTTAGCTGGGAGGAAATCTAAGTGGTAATGTGTTCGTTTGGAGAGTCTGCAAAGCTGCCTCCTAATTTGCCTGCCTCTCTCTCTCTCTCTCTCGCTCGCTCTCGCTCTCGCTCTCTCTCTCGCTCTCTCTTGCATTTGAACAACCTGCCTGTCCGCACCTGGCTTCCTGCTTCCTCTCATGGGGGGACAGTTGCAGTCACCAGCTCTCATGATTCTCATCAAGAATCCATCTTATTTCTATGGAAGTCTTCCTAATGCAAGAAAGCAGACCCCAAGTGATGTGTACCCTTCATGGTCCAAGATTTCCACCCTCATTTGTGTGTATGTGTGTGTTATAGATCCTTTGAAATACGATAAAGACAGTGTCTCTTGGTAAACATGCCTAACTAGGAATTCTGCCCAAGAGTTTGGGAGGTTTATATTCCCCTTGCTGCACATGAAAGGATTCTAGATTGAATTTGCCAGTAGCAGTAGCCAGCTGTGCATTCTGCACACTGTAGGTGCTCAGTAATTGCCTGCTGATGTATGTCTCTCCTCGTTTTCCCTACACAGATTGCCCTGACATTCTCCATTGTCTTTGGGGTGATTGTGTATCGGATCACAACTGCAGCTGCCCTGTCTCTCAACAAGGCCACCCGTTCCAATGTGCGAGTGACGGTGACGGCAACGGCAGTCATCATCAACCTTGTGGTCATCCTCATCCTCGATGAAATCTATGGTGCTGTGGCCAAGTGGCTCACCAAAATTGGTACAATGTCGCTGAACTTTGTTTGTTTTCCAACACAGTATGTTCAGTATGTGCAAGGTATTTGGTGGTAATGATTCAAAATTAAGATGTGGGACAGGAAGAGCATTCTTGGGGGACCATGCACTTTTCATTGGAAGAATGAGGAGGTACGATGATTATGTGCTTTTATGGCCAATGCTGAGGATTCCCCTGCAGGCAGAAAATCTTCCTGTGAAGTTCTTGGCCAGTCCATAGCCCTTAGATCCTTGTAGATTGCCTCCTGTGACAGGCAACTTACTCTCCCCTAAGCATTTAATTCATGGGATCTATTCTTTGCAGCCTGATGTAGAAGCCGAGAAGATTCAAGCCTTCTTGCTCAAGCATATAAAGTTTTAGCTCTCCCCATTTTCCCAGCACATTCACAAAGCCAACAAAAGCCCTTGATACTTCTCTAGCCCAGAAAATCCACACATTCCCCATGCCCTGAGCAGACCTCAAAGAAACATATCAGACTTCCCAAGCTTCAAGTTAGTGAGAAAAACGCAGTGGTCTTCACATGCAAACATGTCATTTGAGCCACAGCCTGCTGTTGGCTGCACTGCACATGGTGGGGTTTGTGCCTGTCAGATGGGGGAAGGGTGAGAGGGGTTGCCTGTGCTCATTTGTATTTATTCTGGGTGACCAGGGCTGCACCCATTCCCCATTTGAATCTGGAGAATTTTCCCGCTTAGAGTCCAAGGACCTGGAATCCCAGCCTCCTGTTGACCTGATAAGAAAGTTGATTAATGAGATGATATCGTCCATTCGTTGACTATTAGAAGATAGACGCTTGGGAAGTTAACTGCCTCGTTAAGACTGACTGCCCATGAGGATCAGAGAAGTCCAGAAAGTTACTCTGATGGTGTCTTTCCCTAGGTTGGTGTCTAGTCTTAGTCTTTTTGGCTTCTGGGAAAAGTTTAGACGACAGAGTGGTAGTGGTTCTGCTTTCTTTAGCCTTGGAGGTATTATCTGTGTTCTCTCATAAGCGTCTTGTAAAAATACAAGAGAGACTTTCAGTCCCATGTATTTAGTGATGCACGTCTCAGCATTCCGTGGAGCACTCAGGAGGTGCATCCCATTTTCCTGCAGGCTCAGGGGAGGTTTGGAGGCAAAGGCATCTACTGGGGGAGCTCAGAGACAAGTAGCAGTGATCCAGGTAAGTGGGGAGGGAAAGATGATTCCTGACAGAATGAGGAAAGTGAACCATGTGGTCTGCAAGGGAGCGACCAGAGCTTGTAGTATCAGGCAAGGAACACAGAGAAGTTGATAGGGAGAATTTCACTGAGTCTAAATGGCCAGGGAAGCTCAGCACGTGGGAGAAAGAAAGCATGATTCTTGTCCAGGAGGATGAGGAGCTCAGAGCAGTGGCTTCCCTAGGATCCATGGCCATGTCATGCTTGAGCCTCAAAGAATCATCCAGTTGATAGCACCGACCTTCTGGCCTGATTACCAAACAGCCTATAAATCAGACAAAGGTGGAGTGGACAGAGAGCCCATAGCTAAGCTTCAGATTGGAAACAGGCTATATTTGGAGGAAGTAACTTAATTGGAGAGACAAATGGACTTTCTGTCACTGGATTCCTGGTGGATTTATCCTTTCAATGTTGCATAAAAGGTGGACAAGGCAACCTAAGGAAGAGAACACAGGTGGACACCTGCCTCCTGCAGGTCCTCTGCTAGCAAAGTAAACGAGGAATGTGTCATCTTCTGGATAGACAGAGGATACTTTCCCTTCTCTCACTGGAAAGCAGGAAGGAGGAAAGTAGGGGCGAGAAACCAGGGAGTTGCAATCTGCCACACTGCTGTGGTAGTGGAGAAAGAAGTCTCCTACTCTCTCACTGAGGACTGTTTGCTGAGTGTGACATGCTGGGAGCTGTGTGTCTACAGAATTACTCAGGCAGGAGTGCAGGTGCAGGGCAGTAAGGAGAGGCAGGAAACTCTAAAACAAAGGAGGTTGTGGCCAGGAATAGGAAAGAGAGAAGCAGAAAATCAATAAGGACGTGGAAATATCTTCCTGCAGTCTGTGTGTCACTCGCAGCTCCAGGGAGTGGCAATGATAGCTGATGGAGTGGTCAGTTTTCCCAAAACTCACAAGTCTTCAGTGAGTATTTTTTGTGGGCAAGATTGGGCACCCAATCAACAAGAGGGGCCAAAAACCCACTTTCCACTTATGGAAGCCATAGACACTCTTCTAACACCATGTTCCTCTCACCCAAACATCCAGTCTCTTCCAGTACTCCATAAGAAAATCTGTGCTCCAGAAGAGAGTTGAAATTCTAACAAGTGCATTTTGTTCTTTGGATAGCATTGTGTGTATTTACCTTACAACGTTATTTTAGCCAATCCATATTAATAATAACTCTTGGTGACCAGAAAGGGGTGTATTATGGTTTCATTTTGCTAAGTTTCAAATTCAGATTCTATTTCTGATAGGCCAGTTCCCTTGTATTGTGTAGAAGTGTCTCACAGCCTGCACTGAAGTGATGTGTTGGGTCTCTCCACTCAGGAACCCAGACAGGAATCTCCCTGGGTTCTTGCTTCCATCCATCAAGCTGGGGTCCCAGAGAACCTTAGAGAGACGCTGTTGCTTAATGGGAGAGTGGGGGAATCAAGTGTGAAGAATCTTCAGGTTCTAGACCTGGCTCATCTTCCCTCCCATTCCTCAACTATGTGGCCCTGGGGAATTTTCTGGACCAGATGCTTGGTGACCCTTTCTTTTTCATTTTCCTGTACCATCTATTGGGCCTCAAATAGTTTCACAGACAGACAGCTGTGCCTCTGTCTTCAGCCTCTGGGTCTGGTCTTAGAAATCCTCACCCAGTCCTCCTTTCCCAAGTGTTGGGTTTGAAGGTACCACCCCCATGGAGCTATCTCAGGAAACTTTCATCTGCCTTTAGTTCAGATACTGACTATCATGAGAGGTTCTCAATGAGAACCTTATTCCCATTGTTATCCTCTATCCCAACAAACCCACTCATCTTACAGTTACCCCAGATTGCCATATGGATTCCCATCGCTGTGCCTGGATCATGTTGCTGGGACAAATGGAATGACCCCCGAAAGGCCTCCCTGCCTTTCCCATGCCTCCCATGGCCACCTCTTCTGTGAAGCCTCTTCTGGATACTTGACGCTTAGTGAGACTCCCTACCTAAGCCATCAAAAGTGTACACACACACACACACACACACACACACACACACACACACACTGGGCTCCTTTAGCATAAATTCTTCATCACATGCTCACCCATTAGCTGTTTATTGAGTGTCTACTTTGGGCCAGGCGCAGTGATGGGACTGCAGCAGTAAGTCAAAAAGAAGGTCTCACTCTTATTATTTTTACCTTATAGTAAGTGAAAGACAGAAACCAAGAACTTGTAAAAGAAAAATGTGAGGTGAAATAAAGTGGTCTGAAACTGTGCATTTTGGATCACATGGTTATAAAAGAATTACTGAGGTGGCCACAGGAAGTCCTAAATGACAGGAAGGCAAAAGGCTGCCAGGTGGGAATGAACTTGACATGATGAACTTGGAGTGGATAATACCACCCATGGAATGGGAAGTCTGCCAGGCTCAGGGGCTTCCTTTGTCCTTCTCACGCTGTATTTAATGCTCATCTGGCCCCCTGCCCCACATCTCCCAAGGGTTGAGGAGGCCGTGACTTTATGCTTTGCGTGCCAGGTGCAAACATCTGGTGTAAGCAATTCTTGCAAGATTCCAATACTTCCTGCCAGGCTGGGTGATGCAAGAGCCACTTCCTGGGAGCATCCTTCAGCAGGTTTCCTCATTAGGTCCATGGAGCTCCATGTGTGTCATAAATATTTATGACAAATGATATAATCTATTAAATACCTTGAGTGTGATCAGCCTGACAATGGTGAAAAAATAAACAATCATTGTCTCCTTGGCTGCATAATGGCTCAGGTACACAATACACTAGCATATGAAGGAGCAGAGATGGTGCTAAAGCCCACAATGATAGGACTGGGGTTTCTAGAGAAAAAGAAGCTTTGGAACCTTGTCTGTGAGGGACACAGTGTGGAACTAGTCATCTGTTGGCTAGTCATCTGTAGGAAGGTGAATATTTCAGTCAGTGGAAGACGAGATCGGCCTTGGTCCCCAATGTTCTGTTCACCCTGGAGGGGTTACTAGCGATGGTCATGAAGAATACATTTGGGTCCAGTGGGAACAAAGACACACAAACAGAACACAACTCAAACATGGTGAGGGTCTAGGGTTGGAGGCAGGGGGACCAAACTGACTATCCTGTAGCATTCTTTTTGGAACCAGGAGTATACTGGGGTGTTGAGGCTGAGGTCTTCTGAGTTCCTGAAGACCACAGGTTTTTGTTACAGTTGACACAGGTATGAGTCAGGCGTGGCCTTGAAGAGGGTCCAGTTCCTACTGTAGCTGTGGAAAATTTTGTAGTTTTGAAGGAGGCAGGGCTGGCAGCAGGTGCCTGGGTTGAAATCATCCAAGGGCCATCAACTCACCTTTATAGGCATCTTTGGCTCTGGATAGCCTTCCCAATCTTTTTTTTTTCCCCTTCCTTTCAACTGTATGGGTGCTGGGTTCTCAGCAGAGCTGCACGATTCATCCTCCCTCATCAGTTACAGCTACACTGCGGCTGTAAGCCACACTGACAACAGGGCTGGGCTAATTGCTGCAGAGTGTTGAATGAGATCAAATTCTGTTTGATCTTTTTTGGAAGCTTTTTATAAAGCTTCCAAACACAACGTGGGACCAGTGTTTGGCTAGCCTATGTTCCCTGATTTGCTTCCAATACTTGGTTTCTTCTGATCTTTACAATGCATGTTCTGGGATAGCGTTATTTTCAGAATTAAAATGCCAAGAGTTAGAAAGATAAGTTTTAATTTCTGGGGATTCTTAGACTGAAAGACCTTCTGACCAAAAACTCTTGTGTCCTTTTTTTGTTGTTGTTGTTGTTTTGCTTTTGTATAGTATGGAACCTGGAAGACCAGA